CTCATCTTTTTCAGATAATCTCACATTAAAGATGTAGTATTTAATTAATATTTTTTCCCCTTTTAAAAAGAAAAAAATTTTTTATTTTTTATTTTAAATTAAATAAAAAAAAAAAATTAACAAAGTCCTATGTTTTAAATAAAAAGTCCCTCTCTACTTAAAATCCCATTCGAAAAAAAAAATACTGGACTAAACCATCTTCGGATTTCTTTTTTTTTTCACCAGATTCATTGAATCTTAGTACGCTCTTTAAAAAGAACACCACGCGGTACACACCCCCCTTTTGGGGGGGTGTGGGAATAGCGTGTTGCCCCATGACTATGTCATGGTGCAAATACACAAGGTCCATTGTATTATAATAATTCGGCAGCAAAAACTACCTAGCCCCTTACGAAGGCATTTATAATGAATTGGAAATGCTTATAGGCTAATCCATATTCGCTCACCACTACTAATGGAATCTCGGTTGATTTCTTTTCCTCCTATTAATAAGATGTTTCAATTCATAGGGTTGTAATAACACAATTTGACAGGTGCAATGCACCTGATTCGACACGCAATGCGTGTCTCATAAATTGTTTACTTAGGTTTCCCTTTAGGAATAAATAACACTTGGTGTTATTAAAAGTTCCTTAAAATAAAAATGAGTTATTTCTCCTTAATAAGTTCTTTTTTCCTTAAAATTAATGTTTAATATCGTTACGTCTATATATATTCTTTATATATATTCAATCTCATTCCTGATACCCTTTAAATATTTGAAAATAAAAGGAATTCCTAAGTAACCAAGGTTATCTTGAGGAATATCTATAGAAAGATTATCTATTAATAAAAAAGAAATTAAAAAATGAATAGAATCTAAAATAATATTAGGATTAATACCTAAATAAAAAGTTAAGAATACAAATATACTTAATATAAAAAATTCTCTTCTATTAATATCTGAAGCTTTAAATAAAAATCTAGACTCTAAACCAAAAGCAATTCTATTATATAATCAAATAGAATAACCAGCAACTAATATCATACTAGTACCAGCTAAAACTGTAAACAAAGGATTTTTATTAAAAATACCTAAGAAAGAAAGAAATTCACCAACAAAATTACCAGTTAGTGGTACAGCCATATTACCTAAAATGAAAATAAATAAAAATAATGAATAAATAGGCATTTTAGATGTTAAACCTTTATAAAATTTAATTAATCTAACATGATATCTATCATATAATACACCCACACAAATAAATAGAGCAGGTGAAACTATACCATGCATAATAGATAATATTATAGCACCTTCTATCCCTTGAATTGTATTAGAAAATATTCCTAAATTTATTATTCCCATATGACCGATACTTGAATAAGCAATCATTCTTTTTAAATCTATTTGTCTAAATGTTGTAAAAGAAGAAAGTATTATAGAATATGTAGCTAAGTTTAAAATTAATGGTGTAAAAAAGCTAGAAGAATCTGGTAAAAATTCTAAACATACTCTTAAAAATCCATAACTTGCTAATTTTAATAAAATTCCTGCTAATATAATAGAACCACCTAATGGAGCTTCTGTATGAGCTTCAGGTAACCAAAGGTGAAATGGTATCATTGGAGTTTTTGTTGCTAATGCTAATAAAAATCCTAACCATATTATTTGTTGAGTTTGAAATGTAAAATCAGTAGATGATATAATATTAAAATCTAATGTACCTGTTATTGAATACATATATATTATACAAAGAAACATAAATAGTGAACCAAATAAAGTATATATAAAAAAATAACTACTAGCTAAAATTTTTCTTTGTCTTGAACCTCAAATACCTATAATTAAAAACATAGGTATTAAACAACTTTCAAAAGTTATATAAAAAAAAATTAAATCTAAAACTATAAATACTGCTATTAATATACTTTCTAATATTAAAAATGAAATAATATAAAATATTATATTCTTTTTTATTGATGACCAACTTGAAAATATAACTATTGGTGTAATAAAAGTAGTTAATATTATAAAAAACAATGATATACCATCTATACCTACATGTAGATAATAATTTTTTATAAATATTCATTCTTCTACAAATTGATATTCATAACAATTTCCATCGAATTTTATCCATAATATTAAAGCAACTATAAAATTAATTATAGATGTAATTAAAGCTATTTGTTTATATATTAAATTATCTGAATCTTGATCCTTTAATGATTTTTTAACCATCGAAGGTACGATCATTAATAATATAGAAACTATTAATGGATTTAAAAATAAAAATGACAACATAATTATATATATTTATTATAAAAATCTAATAACTTGAATTGGGCAGGTGCAAAGCACCTGACTCGAAACACACTAAAAGTGTGTGTCTCGTAAATATTATTTTACTCTATTAAAATCACCCCTACGGGGTATCTTCAATATAATAAAATAGAAGAATAAGTTTTTTTTATTTTTCGACATCGACGCCATCATGAGATGGCTAAGACCCTTAGGGTCTGAAGATGTCTAATCACCCAATGGTGACGAAAATAATCAATATGTTTTACATATTTGGCAGGTGCATGCACCTGATTTGACATGCATTGCGTGTCTCGTATTTATTTTTTTTTTTTCAATATAAAATAATACAATAAATCAGATATTTTATACCTAACAAGACACGCATTGCGTGTCTTATAAATTATTTAAATGCTCTATGTGTTACTCTTATGGGATATGAGTCACCTTTGATGACAAATCCCTGCTAACGCAGGGCTTATCAAGAAAAAATATAAAATACTATGTCAATGGTATGGGTTCCCATATTGTAAATTAAATATTGTCACCATCGGCGCCATCATCAAATGGCTAAGACCCTGAAACCCTTTCGGGTTTTAATAGATTTAATATTGATTTGGTACTCAAATTTTAATCATTGGGAAATTAATTAAGAAGCGTATAATAATAAGAAACTCATCATTAAACCAAATAGACCCATTGCTTCAGTAAGAGCAAATCCTAAAATAGTATAAGAGAATAATTGTCCTTTTAAAGCTGGATTTCTAGATGTACCGTTGATTAAAGCTGAGAAAACAATACCAATACCAATACCTGCACCAGCAATAGAAATTGTGGCTAAACCTGCTGCGATTAATTTTGCACTTGCTAACATAATTTAAATTATATATAATTTGTTTTAAAAATGTTAAAATTCAATATAACGAGAAACACACTCATATGTATTTAAAATTGTAAAATAATACATCTGTTTTATAAATCCCGTAAGGATTTATCGTCACCATTTTCAAATCCATCATGCAATGATGGATTTGACACCGGTGACTAGCCCCCTAACGGGGGTGATAAAATATAATAAATATCTTTGAGTGCATAAGCACTTTAGTCCCTTTAGAGGGACAATATTTAAAAATATCTTAGGGTTATCTCATTAGATTATCATAAAATAGGGTTTGATTTATGATGTAATCCTTTGGAATATTATCTTTATATAGCCAATGATTTTATAAATTATAGTATGGTTATTTTCTATTTATACTAAAATGTGATTATTAAAATATAAATCATTTAACGATAAAAAATTACATAAGTAGGATTTTCCACCTTTGGTGAAAAATTACTATATTATTAGACAGGTGCATACACCTGACTCGACACATATTGCGTGTCTTGTAAAAGTTAAATAATTTAATCAAAAAATTATGTTCAAAATAACAGATATATAATATCTTATATATAAATTATATTAAAACCAAAAGGTTTTTAATTTTAACATTGAATTATTTATTAAGAAAATGGAGGATAATAACTAATTACTAAGATTAAAAAAATAATACTACTAAATAAAGATAAATAACATAATATTATAATACCAGTTAATAATATTCCTCTTATTTTACTCATTAAATTAAAATACATTTTTAAAATTTTATTATTAATATTTTTTGTAATTACAGTAAAAAGATTTGGATATTTTAAATTTATAAGAATAATAGTAAAAAGATAAATACTTAATATAATAAAAAGCATAGATACTATAATCATACCTAAATATGGATCAGATACATGTAAAATATATTCTAAAGGTGAATTTATAATATTATGTTCAAATTCTTTATCCATAATTTGAATACTTTTATCATTGTAATCATTTTTAATAAATTTTTCTTCAGGTAAACCTTCTGATCTATCTGTATAAGTTGGTCTTTTTATAGAAGTAGGTTTAGATATTTCTTTTGATTGATTATCATCAAAAGATTCATGGTTTAAATAATCACCACTCATACAATAAATAACATCATTAAAGCATGATTGACAAATAAAACTTAAAACCAATAACATAAAATATAAAACAATGGGACTATAAATTAATTTTATAAAAAAGAAAGTTATATTATTAGACAGGTGCATACTACTGACTCGACACGCAATGCGTGTCTCGTAAAATAACTCTTTATATAATTTAATAATTAAATACATAAAATATTTTTTTTTTACTATAAAAATCTAATAACTTGGATTGGACAGGTGCAAAGCACCTGACTCGAAACACACTTTTAGTGTGTGTCTCGTAAATAATAAATATATTTTTATATTACATTTATTATTTTATATACCCCTTTGGGATAACTCTATGGGTGAAGATTAAATATAATAACATTTGCGAGTAATAGGACTCGAACCTATTATTACCCGTTGGAAGCGGGTGAGTTTACCAATTAACTTATACTCGCTATAGATTAATAATCATTAAATATTTTAAATATTAAGGCAGGTGCATACACCTGACTTGATATGCGATGCGTGTCTCGTCGTCACCATTTTCAAATCCATCATAGCATGATGGATTTGAAAACGATACGAGACATGCAATGCATGTCGAATTTTAATGCCGGATAAGAGATTTGAACTCCCAATAAACTACTTACAAGGTAGTTGCTTTACCGTTAAGCTAATCCGACATATATTTGAAATAAATACATTCTATAAATAGATACCCATTACAATATAATGAATTTATTTTGGTGACTATTTAAAACCCTGTCGCCATCGTCGTCATCTTACAATGGTGACAGGTCTATAGATGACTATAACTCTTTCGGGTTTCAATAGATTTAATATATATCATTTTGTATTAATATATATATATTATATTGAAGATGTTATTATATAAGTTGTTAATATATAAACTATCATATATATATAAAAGGTTTTAATTAAGCAAGTGCCCAAGATCAGAACACACTTTAAGTGTGTTCTGATCCCGTGCACCTGATTTTACACACATTTCACACCCTCCCCCTAAAGGGGGTGTGTATACCGTATATCTTGTATTAAGTTTAACAATTTTTTAGTTTTATATATTGAGTATTATATATTTTAATCTTAATATATTTATACTATTATATATATATAATATATTCACATATACCTTATTCGCAAATTGGTGTACGTGGAATATATTTTACATCCTGGTATAAAGTACCTGATTTTATACATATTTCATATCCCCCTGAGGAGGGTGTGTACCATGTGTCTCGTAAAGTTTTAACTTAAAGGCAGGTGCAATGCACCTAACTCGACACGCTTTGCGTGTCTCGTAAAATGGAAATTCATTGAATAAATAATTTATAGAGATCTTAAGGAAAGTCTGGGAATTATATACATCATATTGGTTAATTTCCAATTAAAATAATTTATAGGTAAGTAAAAAAGAAATTAAAAATTAATCAGGCAAGTGTAAAACACCTAACTCGACATGCAATGCATGTCTTGTACTGTTTTCAAATTTGAAAATATATTCCTATGTAAATCATATTTTTCGTTATTATAATTTCATTTAATGGTTTTATTTGAGTCCAAAAGGCATTGTTTATTTAACCTTTTTTAAAGGATATTAAATTATTAAGATAAGTACAAAATTCTTAACTCAGTATACACTTTAAGTGTGTGCTTTGTAAAATTTTTACGTTAAAATCATACGAGACACACACTTTTAGTGTGTTTCGAGTCAGGTGCATTGCACCTGACTAGTGGGATTTTCCACTAAAGGTGTTAAATCTAATAATAACAAGTTAACCAAAAATATAAAATTTTTGTAGTAGAATTATATCATCATTAAGTGAATATAAAAATTTTAAGACAGGTGCAATGCACCTGACTCGACACGCAATGCGTGTCTCGAAATTTTTAATACTAAATCCGGCTTATAATTGATTATCCTTTTTTTTATTTATTCGATGTTTTACTCTATTTCAAAATTATTTAAAAAGACCTTAGGCAGGTACAATGTACCTGACTTGACACGCATTGCGTGTCTTGTAATATTAAGTTACTTTAGGTTAAAATTTTTAATCTTCAAGACATGCGGTGCACACCCAGGTATTTTATACCTAATTCGACACGTATATCGTGTCTTGTATTATTTTAAATAGCAAAAAAAAAAAATTCAATAGGATATAAAAGATATTTAATATATTTAAATATGGGTCCTAATTTTCCAATAAGTCGTAAATTAAATAAATTTAAAAAATCTAATTCCATATTATATAAATTTAATTCAAAAAATAATATAATAATACAATCTCAAGAAAAATATCTATATTCTTTTTTTAATAATTTATTTCAAAATTTAATTATATCTAAACCTAAGTTTAATTATAAAAATAATGAATTAAATATAAAAATATTATATTATTTAGATAATAATCTAGTATTAAGAAATCAATCGTCAAAATTTTCTCATTTTAATTCAATCCGAAAAGGAGGATTTTTATCAAAAAAAGGTACTAATTCTATATTATATAAATTTAATTTAAAAAATATTTCTACTAAGTGATTAATAAATTCAACGGGTATTATTTTAAATAAAAAAAATAATCAGAATATTCAAATTGCTAATTCAACATATTTAAATTCAAATTTATCTAGTTCTTATAATACAAAATTTTGATCTGATTATACTTTAAATGGTACTAAACATTTAACGGTATCAGAATTTTTACTTAATAACTTTTCTGATGTTTTTAAAATCAATAGTAAATATGAAAATATTAAATTTTTACAAAATTTTAATAAAAGTATTATAGATTCTGATAAGATTGAATTTTTAATGGCTTTAAAAAATTTAAAAGAGAAAAGTTTAATTAATAATATAAACTTACAATCTTCAAATGCAAAAAAATTATCAAAAAATTCAAACCCCAATACGTGAAAATTATTTTTTTTAAATGAATTAAATTTAATTTTAAAATTATTTATAAATGCAGAATTAAATTTAAGTATTAATGATACTCTTGAATATTTAATTATATATAAAAAACAAAATTTAAAAAATTTAAATATTAAATTAAAAAATTTTAATGTAGGCGGACGTAAAGGATATAACTTTATGACTTCACAAAAATCTTTACATACTAAAGATTCTAAATTAAATATAAATACCAATTATAATAATAATATAGGGCTAATATCTAATAAAGCACAAATCTTATCTAATATTAAAAAAACTCAATTTATTTTAAAGTTTTTAGAAAATTTAAAATTAGAAATATCTAATAAACCCTGCGTTAGCAGGGATTTGTCACCAAAGATGATGCATATCGAGTCAGGTGTAAAACACCTGTCTAATATATCTTCTAATTCTAATATGTCATATTTTAAATATTCATCTAATCCATCTGATTCTATGTTAAAAATATTAGAAAATTATCTTTCTCTAAAATTAAATATAAAAACTAATATAAACATGGTTAAATTAGAGAGTCCTTTATTAAATAGTTATGTTTTAGCAAAATATATTTCATTAAATTTAAAAAAACATAATGCATATTTTATATGAAGAAAATTAAATCGATATATTAAAATTAATAATTTAAAACAATTTCAAGGACATTCTTTTTTATCTCAACATAATAGTTTAAATAATGATAAAAAAAATATGAATAACTTATCTTTAATCACTAATTCTAATATTTTACATCCATCTTTATTTCAATTAGAATCTATAAAAAAAATTCTATATTTTACAAATAAATCTTTTATATCTAAAGATTCTTTATTAAAAGTTACTAATAATATTATAAAAAAAAATCTAATGTTAAATTCATCTAATTCTTTATTTTTAGGAGATGCATCTTTTATACATAGATTTAAAAAATTATTACTTATTAAACTATGAATGAAAAATTTTTTTTCACAAAGAATTTCTGGTATAAAAATTAAAATATGTGGTAGATTTAATAAAAGAAAAGGTGCAACAAGAACTAAAGTTCAATATTATTCAAAAGGTTCTTTTAAATTTAATTCTATTGATTCTTTTATTGATTATGGTTATTTCGAAAGAAAAGATAGAAATGGTACTCAAACTATAAAAGTTTTTATTGCAAATAAATCTTAAATTTCTTACGAGACACACAATGTGTGTTGAGTCAGGTGCATTGCACCTGCCTTTATGCATTTCCCTCTTTTGGGAGGTATGCATCATGTGTCTCGTTGTCACCATTGGGTGACTAGACATCTTCAGACCCTAAGGGTCTTAGCCATCTCATGATGGCGTCGATGTCGAATAGTTTACATTAGTTTAATATTTCCATTTATGTGTATAACTTAAATCTATATAAAAATAATAAATTAAAATATATGTTAATAAATTTAATTTTATGTATAGGAATTACACCTATTTTAATGGCTAAAGATAGCCTATTATCTATTTTATATATTTCAAATGATGCACCTGAACCTTGGCAAATAGGATTCCAAGATGAAGCTTCACCAATTATGGAAGGTATTGTTGAATTACATGATTCTATTCTTTTTTATTTAATAGTAATATTAGTTTTAATTAGTTGGATGATAGCTTCAATTATGTATAAAAATTCTTCTAAAAGATCTCATTTTGTATATAAATATGAAAATCATGGAACTTTAATTGAATTAATTTGGACAATTACACCTGCATTTGTTTTAATTGCCATTGCATTTCCTTCTTTTAAATTATTATATTTAATGGATGAAGTAATAGCTCCAGCAATTACTATTAAAGCTATAGGAAGACAATGATATTGAACTTATGAATATTCAGATTATATTAATGATAAAAATAATATAGATGAAAATTTAAATTTTGATTCTTATATGACTCCTACTTCTGATTTAGAACCAGGTCAATTAAGATTATTAGAAGTTGATAATAGAATGGTTGTTCCTGTAGATACTCATATTAGAATTATTACTACAGGTGGTGATGTAATTCATTCTTTTGCTGTTCCTTCATTAGGTCTTAAAATTGATGCTTTACCAGGTAGATTAAATCAAACTTCAACTTATATCCAAAGAGAAGGTGTTTTTTATGGACAATGTTCAGAATTATGCGGAGTATGGCATGGATTTATGCCAATTGTTGTTGAAGCTGTTCAAACTGAAGATTATTTATCTTGGTTATCTGAGCAAATAGATAACTCCCCTTTATAATAATTTATGCACCTGCCTCAATATTTATAAAATCCTGAGATTTTATATAAATCCTTACGGGATTTATAAAATTATCCCTTTAAGGCATTATTAATAATTTTTTAAAACCTGTTATATATTTAACCTTAAAAGGGTCAAATTTGACACCTTTGATGGAAAATTCCACTTATGTAATTTTAATAAATTTTTACTGAAATAAATTTTTAATTATAAATAAAATTATTATTACCTTATCTAAAAAAATATCTCGATATTAGTGCTTTGCATTTAAAAAATAATTCCGAGACACGCAATGCGTGTCGAGTCAGGTGCATTGCACCTGTCTTTGATTTTTTTAATTTATTTTGAAATTCTACTTATGTAATTTTAGATAAGTGTTAAATTACTTACTAAGTAAGTGAAATTTTATATTAAATTCTTTTTGTACTTAACATAAACATAAATTTTATTTTTTTTGTATGAGGTCTTTTAAAAGTCAACCTATTCTAAGTATAATAAATAGTTATATTTTAGATTCATCTTCACCTTCAAATATATCTTATCTTTGAAATTTTGGATCTTTATTAGGTTTATGTCTAATCATACAAATTATAACTGGAGTTACATTAGCAATGCACTATACTAGTCATGTTGATTTAGCTTTTATAAGTGTTGAACATATTATGAGAGATGTAAATTTTGGATGATTAATTAGATATACTCATGCAAATGTTGCTTCATTCTTTTTTATTTTTGTTTATCTTCATATTGGTAAAGGATTATATTATGGATCTTATAGAAAACCTAGAATTCTTTTATGGTCTATTGGTGTAATTATCTTTATTCTTATGATGGCTACAGCATTTTTAGGATATGTTCTTCCATGAGGAGGAATGTCTTTTTGAGGTGCAACAGTTATTACTAATATGTTATCTGCTATACCATGAATTGGTAAAGATGTTGTTGAATTTATTTGAGGTGGATTTAGTGTTGATAACGCTACTTTAAATAGATTCTTTAGTTTACATTTTTTATTACCATTTATATTAGCAGCTTTAATTGTATTACATTTAATTAGTTTACACCAACATGGTTCAAATAATCCTGTAGGAATTACATCTAATTTAGATAGAATACCATTTGCACCATATTATATCTTTAAAGATTTAATTGGTTTTTATGCATTCTTTTTAATACTAGCTATTTTTTTATTCTATGCACCTAATTATTTAGGACATCCAGATAATTATGTACCAGCAAATCCTTTAGTTACACCTCCTTCTATTGTACCTGAATGGTATTTCTTACCTTTTTATGCAATATTAAGATCTATTCCTGATAAATTATTAGGAGTTGTAGCAATGTTTGGTGCTATTGTAATCCTTTTACTTTTACCAATACTTGATACATCTAGAATTAGAAGTAAAGCTTTTAGTCCTTTAAATAAATTCTTTTTTTGGATTTTTGTAAGTAATTTCTTTTTATTAGGTTGAATTGGAGGTAACCATGCTGAAGAACCTTTTATTTTTATAGGTCAAATTTGTACTTTATTTTATTTTGCATACTTTTTAATTCTTATCCCTATTATTGGTAAATTAGAAAATTATTTAATTGATCTTTCAGAACCAAAAAGATAAATTTTAATTAATGTATTATAATATTATTTAATTCCCCATTATGAGATACGCAATGCATATCGAATCAGGTGAATGCACCTGTTTTTATATTTGGTATTTTTATTATCTTTATATAATCTTATTATATATATTTAAATTATAATTAATAGGTTATACCTTTAGTTAATAAATAAAAATTTAACTCTTATTAGACACGTAGTATACACCCCCAAAAGGGGGTGTGAGATACGTGTCGAATCAGGTACATGCATTTGTTTATATGTTAATTATTCTTATTTTAATTAGACAAATGTTCTGTATTTACTCAATACGCATAGTGTACTCTGTATAATCATTTACATTTTATTCGACATCGACACCATCATGAGATGGCTAAGACCCTTAGGGTCTGAAGATGTCTAGTCACCAATGGTGACGATAAAATTAAAAATTATTTTTACGAGGGAAATAATTTAATTGGTAAAATACTGGCCTTCAAATCCAGTTTCAAAGGTTCAAATCCTTTTTTCCCTGTATCTAAATTTATAAAACCTTAAGGCAGGTGCATTGCACCTGCCTATGTGTTTAATTATTAAATTATATAAAGAGTTATTTTATGAAACACGCATTGCGTGTTTTCTTTTATTGATTTTAAGTATTTTTTATCAATTTTATTTTTTTGATATTATTTATTGTATGAGCGATGATTATTTAAATATAAATAATCAAAATAATAATAATCAAGATAATAATAATCAAGATAATAATAATACATTAACTCAAACAAAAAATATATTAAATGAAACAAAAAGTATAGTTTCTGAAATAAATAAAAGTGATGTAATTAATTTACCTTTTGAATCTTTTCATTCTTTAATTAATCCAATGTCTAATGTACCTTTAATAGCTGTTATTTTAGTATTTATCATATTTATTTTTTTAGGGTTACAATGTTTAAATTTTACGAGACACGCATTGCGTGTCGATATTTTTTTTTATGAGAAAATACCCCATGGGGATGACCCGTAGGGTTTTTAAAAATAATCCTAAATTTTAAAACTTCTTGAATTTTTTAAAACTATTTTTAATAAAACTACACATTTATATTATATTTTATTTGTTTTTTTTAGCACCTGGCGCCATGACGTAGTCATGGGGCCCCACCAA